GAAGTGCCACGCCCCCTCTTCCAATACCCACCATTTTTCGCCGTAAGTAGGGTATTTACAATTTATACATCCGTGCCAGATTTCAGTTCCCTAGCGTGATTGGTTTTAGAGATACATCATTTTTCACGTTTTAGTCTGTATGCCAGAATTAATATTTTTGTATCAGAGGAAGTTATATCCTTTCAAGATAACGGCGCCCTCGAAAAAGTGGGTTCAAAATTTTGTTGTGGCATATTTATATAAAGATACCTTCAATAAAATGTTTTAGCTACAAACCTCGAATGACCTCTGGTGTCATCTAATCTCGTTCCTTGATCAAGGTAAATGTTTGTATGGCCACTTTTTACAACAAATCTAAGCAACTGAAGCAATAAAATATTTTTTCCGGCTAATAAAAAAAATAAAACAGTAATAATACAAATATTCACACCTATGGGATGTGCAACGCCCCCTTTTACAAACTCATTTATTTATAGTTTACTAAAGCAAATGCCTACATACCGAATTGCAAGTTCGTGGGGCTTATGGTTCCGAAGTTACAGTTAATAAAAAATTGCATGCCTATGGGAGCTGCCACGCCCCCTTGTTTAATCCCAATTTTTGTCTCCCTATTAATAAGTCCAGGTATCATGGGAATACTCTGGCAAATACATACATACCTCCACAAATATATAGTAGATATCTATTCACAGCGTAAAATAATTTTTGGGGATATCTCAGCTTATCCTATCCTTACCTATCGTGTAAGTTTTAATTCAAAATATTTATTTTCAATTGGCTTAAATGTATTCTAAATATGAGCCAGATCGGCATGGAAATGCAGTTTTTAAGAATGTTCCGAGGACAGAATATTTCAATTCTAGGCGCTGACATATGTTCCAAATATGAACCAAATCGGACTAGCCGTTTAGTGACAGAAAACTCTATGAAATTCTAAGCATTCTTCATTTTTCGGCAACATCAAAAGAAAGTTTCAAATTTTTCAAAATCGAAAAACCTTCCACACAGAAAGTCCTAAAAGGTACTTTTTACAGAATTGAAATCGGTTCAGCCCTTTGGTCAGGCGTCGCGGTCATACGAAAAACATTTAATTTATATATATATATAATGATAAAGTAAATAGTCAAATATTTTCAATATATGAAAAGCGTATAGTTAAATAAGCACTATACATACACATACATAAATATGTTTACATATACATACATACATATTAGAGAGAAGGTAAGTGTTTAAGGCTAAAAAAAGTTAAGAAGTCCTAAGGGCGGATGTTTTTAAAATATATTGAGAAGGTCCTTTACTCTGGCGGATATGCTCCTTTGCGAATTTTTTCGGAGCCTCTTTAGGAACATCAGCGCACCGTACAGGGAGTCCCAATTATGCGCCTTGTGGACCCCGCTGGTTGGCTGGGTTACCATTAGTATTACTGCTTCGGCGCAATACATATCGATAATTGCAAGATAATTGCAAGGGAATAAATTTCTTACGAATAAACTACCTGTATGCGCTTTTTGCGTTTGCATTTTGTGATGCAAACTTCCCGTTATTATATTAGTGTTTTATTGTTTAAACCTTTGACCAGCGCTACTGAGTTGCGAGGCAACAACAAATAAGAACAGACAAAGTTCCAGCATTCCTACTGCACTGTTATTTGGCACATTTCAATGCTGGCTTTGTGAGTAGGGGGCACGCAGATAACAAACTTAAAGTCAAACTGATTTTGCTCATCCGGATAGGACGACTAATAAAATGCTTGTGAGTTATGTAATTATCTTAAAAGTGAGCCAGTTCGGGAGTGTATGTATGCACCATTGCAAAACGAGCTTGCATGTGCATTTGTGTAAGTGCTCAAGTTAAACATTAGAAAGTTAAGTCTATTTGCAGGCAAACAGGAAGATGAAGAATAGACTCAAAAGTGAATCAAACTACTTCAACATAATGTGCATAATGAAATTCTGGTGCACAAATGGCCAAAATTGCAAATTGAAGGTGTAGTAAGTATAGCTGGTAGTAGATGGTAAGTGAAGAAGAAGGGCAGAGGCTAAACTAGAAGCCAAAGCATCGTAGTGCACTCTGTGCGCCTAACCCAAATTTGTAAAGTGGAGGGCCCGGTTTGTTGGCAAGGCCGAGTGCGCGCAAATTGTATTTACAATTTAAACAAGTTTAAATACTTTGATGCACCTTTTTGGGGCAAGCATTGCCGTTGGACGTTAGATGAGCAGCGGGAACTTTGCACTTTGCGTGTGATGAATGAATGTGCAACACATTCAATTTGTAGTCCGCCAAAGAAGGGTGGTTCGCTTGCAGTGAGTTTTTTATATCCCAACTTTTTTTATATATTTTTTTGCACGGTTGTCGAAACATTTGAGTTTTTGGCCGTTGCCGGTTTAGTTTCATAGAAAATGAAATTATGCCCCTCTTCCAACTCTGTTGCATTCTAATGAAGCCGAGGCTGTTTTTTAATTCGCGATTTTTTTTTTGCTAATTTTTCTATCTTCCTCTGCTTGGCTTATGTTTGCAATTGGAGTGATGTTTCGCTATTGCTGTTGTTGGTACTTGAGTCGACGTGTTTGCGCCTGCCACGCGCCACAACTTCATAATTTGCGAGGGCGAAGAAAGGCACACAAATAAAGCGGAAAACTTGGGCAGTTTACAACTTTTTAATACACCAAAAGGATATTACAAGCCATGCAACATCAAGCTAAGACCAGACCAAGCGAACGTCCAACCTTCCGTAGCAGGCGCACGGCTACAAATTCACAACGTGTGTAAGGAAGATCGCTTTTTTATTTAATTTTTTCCCACCGAATTTTGGCTATGAAAAACTTAAGCCCAACAACTGACAGCTTTTATCGCGTGGCCTATGAGCAACTACAAAGGATAACAGTAAATAGAAGGCAAAAAAAAAAAACTAAAAAATAAATAAAAATTTTAAAAACCGAAAAAAGGCTGAAAATGACGGCGTGATGATGAAGACGCGAGAAGAGCAAGCGTGCAGTAGGCGGACAGCCTTTTCGCTGAAAAGATTTGCAGCTCAGTGTTCGACTGCCTCGACTTATATGCTGCAAGTTGGTTGAAAATGATGAATATGAAAGGCGTAACAAAAATATGGTGAATAGAACCAAACAGAAAGAGTAGAAAAATATACAAACATATAAAAGCCCGGCAATGTGGTGATCAAGCGCCAAAAGCATAAGCGGAGGCTTTGAGATTGCTATAAAAATGGATGTGGAGATGGTTCGAATGAAGCGAAAAAAAATCAACTACGGTGAAGGTAAAAACAGAAAAGAAAATAGCCAAAGAGACTGCTAAACTTGTGCCGTCAAAATTTTTCAACTCACTTTTTCGTGCAATAAACAAACTTTTGAACAAAGTTTATTTTACTATTTACGGAGGCGGCACAAAAAAGTCAAGCCAACTTATAAAAAAAAGTCTGTTTCATATAGCAAAGTAAACCTGGTGGCAGCATCAAGGAGAACAACAAAACCAACGCTACTGCTAGCAAAGTGCCGACATAATAAGTTGCAACTACACGCTTAGTTAGTTATGTAGATACCAGATACTTCACAATGTTCAACTCGTCAACTGAACTCCGCCACTGCACTTCACTCGTTGAATATTTCAGTGGGCTGCTGCGAAACTAGATAAATATTTTCTTTTATCAAAAGTGAATATAAAAAATATGGTGCAACAACAGAATGCCCACAGCAATGGCTTGCAACTGAAAGTACTTGCCAGCCAAGTTTCAATTCATCTTCAACGCCTATCGTTTGCCATCGTTTACCAATCGAATTTTTGTATGTAGGTTCATAGAATATTTGCTTAATTATGTACACTGGCGGCAGAACTAATAGACTCGCCTTACTTTGAAGAGTTTTGGCTATATTTCAATGGTTAATTTTATGTTTAATATTTTTTTATAAAAGCTTGGCTAGTAGGACAACAAACACCATACAAATCCTCTTTTCAATCTTTATACAAAAATTATAAAAATTTGACAAATTTTCACCAAATTTTCAAACTTTTTATTCAGAATTTTCAGAAAAGTTTTTGGTATGCAGTTAGTCAAAAATTGGCGTTTTTTTTTGTTGCTTGCTATGCGTTTGTGCGAAACGTCGCCATAACGGTGTCATATCTTTGTTGTAAAAAACTGCCGATTTTCACACTTTTGCTCAAACGCACACAGTTTCGCAACAAAGAGTGAACTCTAGTAATGTTTCTTGCACGACGGCCGATTTTGTCTAGCATGATTGAATGTACTGCCACATACTCACTTACGATTGCGCTAAGTTCGGTCAATTTTATTGTGGCTTATTAACATTTTATTTTAATATTGTTATTGTTAGGAAAAATCGTGGTACAAAGCCCAATAACAATATTGCTATAAATTTTGCTTCCATTTTTTTTAAATTGAAATATTTGGTGTCTGCAAACTAAAAAAAAAAGCACCAAAACCGCAACAAGCTCCGAACTCAACATTTTCGCATTTTGAATACGCACTAAGTTTAGTGCTAAAAGCGCCAAGTTGTCAACAGTGTATGTAAAAGTTAAAGTACTGTGTGACGTCAGCGAATGGGTGGATGCTGTCAAATCGAGGACGAGAGGGTTAGCAGTCCGCGAATGTCGCCGCCTTTATTTTCTGCATCGTGGGTTAACGCTACTGGTGAACAGAGAGTGAGAGGGAGACAAAAGAAAAAAATGCAAAGGGGGACAAAAAAGCGAAAGCAAAGACAAGGATAATGACAATCAGAATGACAAGAATTGAGGCAAAGATACAGATAATGATAGTGATGAAAAGGTGATAAAGGAAAAGGCAAAACATACGCAACGGCAAAGACAAATTTAAAGGCTAAGTATAAGATTAATATTTACAAAGGTTTGGAGCTGATTCCATAGGGATGTATAGGATCTTGAGCAAATGCTCTTGCATTTGCATATTCGGTGCATTTGTAAATTCGCAACAATAAAATGCACACAGTTGCCATGGCAGCCAGCATAAAATGCAAAATGCAAATGTGATTCCAACTAAAAATCCAAGACCATTCCCACAACATCCTGAACAGCCCTAATATTAATTGATTGCCATTTGTTTTCTTCACATTTAATAAACAATAGGGGTATTCTCGAAAACTTTCACGTCGCACGGATTGCGCGAACTGCAAAAATACTATTCCAAATTTGAAAGAGGACGAGAGCTCCCCATCGCAATGTTTTAGCATGCATAGGTAGCAAGCAGCAAAGTATCCTGAACAGCCCTTCTGTGTCAAATACAATAACAAGCTACAAAGAAATAAAGTAAAAGTGTGTTTGCATTGTTCAACTTTGCGTTCAACATTTGCGTTCAACTCAGCGCAGGGTTGCACGAAAAAAAAGTTGAATGGCTAAAAATATCAAAATATGAAAAAATATCAAAATATTCGCCATAAAAAGGTGTTTNAACCCTGCGTTGAGTTGAACGCAATTGTTGAACGAAAAGTTGAATAATGCAAACACTGCTTAAGCGAAATAAGTGGAATAAGAGAAATATGTAGCAGTTCCAACAAGAAAACAGTTAGCACAGGATTCCGTTTATCTTGCTACGATTTTTTTTTAAATATATGCCTGGGTTTAGGCATTGTATATTTTCCAGTAATAGGAAATGTTGTTTCCAATGTATTTATAAGCTTATTGTGGTGGGTTTTTGCATATAAATCTGTTGCACATTCCACACTTGGCGGATTGTTCGTTAATGTAATACTAACATCAAAAACATCATCCACGTTTATTCGTTGGTTGTGAAGTCGTGGCTCCAGTTCCATATGGGTGAAAATTTCTCAACTAGATCTCGGGTTTCAGTCAAGTTAGAATTTGTGCGTGAAAATTTGCGAGTAGAGGTGTTTATAGATGTGAAAGGGATTCTGTGATTTTTTTTTGAAAAGTTCTAATTTTTAAAGTTTTTTATGAGCAATTACATTTATAAGCAATCTTTTTTTCTAAACTCAGTTTCTCTTACAGTATTTGACGAAAGTTGATGAAATTTTTTTGTAGCTTATAAAAAATATTTTTTTAATTCAGAATTTTTTTTTTTTTTATTAAAACATTATAGATCTGTCCTTCGAACGAACTGGGCCGCATTGCTTCCGCGGGTTATTATTCCTCCCAAATCCCAATAAATATTGAAACTTTCTCTGTTATGTGAGAATGCTGCCATTTATTACCCTTGTGACCAATTGGTAACAATGGCCAAAAAATATTTAAATTACAATGTAAAATTTCATGGAAAAAAATTTAAATTATTTAACAGAGAAAAAAGCTATAAAAACTTGGATTTAAATTGGATTAAAAAAATGAAGTAATTAAAATTGGATTGATCGGGCCCAAGACAAGTGCGCCTAACGGATTAAAAATTTTAAAAAAGGGTCAATTTTGACTTTAAGGGCTAATGAGGGTTAGAGCTTCAAAAAATCTTCCTGACCACAAAAAAAGATCAAGCGATATTGAACAGTCACTACGAGATTTTATATGGAGTGTAAAAATTGGTTCACCCAAAAAAGAAGCTAAATCGCGTTTTTCTATAACCTCTCTATTTGATATCAGATCTATATCAATTATACTTCGTTTTGAAGGTATTAAGTCTAAATACTTCCCCAGAAAAAATATCCTACATATCATGTAAAACTAAAAAGTTATATTTTTTTCTGGAAACGAAGCTTAAAAATATATTTGCAAAGTTTATGAGATGTTTATACATAAAATTGTTTTGAAATATAATACTTTTTATGTTAAAGACAATTTAACTGGGCTTTAACAAAGTTAGAATGCCGTTTTCCTTTTACTATTTTGGCATAACTATGTCCATTTTTTTTTGTTGAAATCCCACTCTATTTATACATACATACTTGTAGCCTTTAGAACTCTCCTCTACTTTGTCAGCTTTAATCCAAGAGTCTTCTTGCTTTTTGTTTCAACGTACGAAAAACTCCACAGCGCTCAACGATTTCAGTAAATACTTTTTTGTTTGATTTCTAACGCCGCGTGTTGCCGACAGTTTGAAGC